TCTATCCAAACCGTTTGGCTTGGACAAAGTTGGCTCCAACTTCAACATTTCATAAAAGTTTATGCAATAACACTGTTCTTATCTGAATCAAAATCACACAATTCTTATGCATTTACAGTTCCTGATGCAACTATCCAATTTCCTATATGATGCTTCACAACTATAAATTAAAAGACGTAGCATTCCTTCTTCCTCAAGTGATCCTATATCCGAAATTGATTAACTTTATATAAAGAATAACCAAAACCACTGAAATGTTGCAACATCACTATGCCAGAGCTTGCCACACAATTCTTATGCATTTACACAGTTCTTATCTGAGGTATTAACAATAAGATAAAAAATGGTGATGGAGGAAGTTATAAACTAAGCTTAAAAAAAAAGCTCATATGACAGCATCAAGCAGCAACACGCATTTGTTGTATGGGATTATTATATCAAGAAGCTACATGCATTTGTTAATTTCTTCACCGCTCCATCATCATAACAGATCCCTTAATATGTACTGCATTGTTAACGTGGTGATGCAGTGATTTCCCAATTGCTTTGCATCATTCATAAGTCTAAGCATCATTCAAAGCCAATTTACATAGAAATAAAATGAAACTAAACAGATTACAGCTTCAGCAATATTGCAAACAAAGGTCCCAATTGCTTTCCTCCATTAATCACAGAAACGCGAAAGGGCAGAATGCCCCAAATATGAAAAGTGATACAAATAGGAGTATGCGATTGAATAATTTGCAATGAAATTGGCCTCCATTTATTCAACATATATATCATTGATCTGTTGCTTCACAACCATCACATATAAGCATGTGCTCACCAAGTGTTTCAGTGCCACACAACTTATCGGCATAAGGGCGAACCGAACTTTAAAATGATTTGTGCATTGGCATACTGACCAAAGAAAAATATGTTGAGATTTTCATACCTATTTTATACTTTTTTGATGATATTGCACTTTAAAGAAATGTATATTTGATTTTTTTGTTGCAGGAATTATGAATTAGGGTCATTCGAGCAAAAAAATGCAAAAAGAAGCGAATTTGGATCGAAAAAGAACCAAAATGTGAAGAATTAAACTAGGGCGCCGACGGCGCCATCGACCCCGCCGACGGTGAGATTTCTCGAGACTCCAGAATTAATTCATTAAGAAGGTCAGCCGACGGCGCCCTTGAGGCCACCGACGGCGAGCTCGGTGGTTATGACCAACTAGGCTTTGGATGAGGATAAATTTTGAAGGGATGCTTAGGCAACTCTTGGGAAAACTCATCCACAACTTTAAAAGAAGATTTTGGTCGAAAATTCAGGGGGCTTGGAAGACTCTAGAGGTCCTGAAGGTTAAAAAGGTTCCATTAGTGTATAGAGAATTTACTAGTGTCAAAATTATGAGGAATTCTTCGAGAGATTTTATGAGTGGAGGGAATGTGAGAGATTTCTTCTGGAAAGTGAGAGATTTCTTCTTCCTTGCCGCTTTGAAAAAGAATTCCGTGTGCTGTAAGGAAAAGAAGAGATTCAGAAGAACTTTGAGGTGTTTGCTTGGGGAGGAATTAGAGATAAGTGTGATTTACTTGTTGTTTTTGTATGACTTTGCTTTTATATATGAATTCCAAGTTTTGTTGTGTCTTTCCCATAAGTTCTGAGTAGTTTTCTCTGTTTTTCTCCTTTTCTTGAGATTTGTGAAATGGTGATTTAAATTGGTTGAGCCTTAAAAATTTTAAAGAAGTTGTGATGATATTTTCACTTTGATCTTAATTTACTTTCAATCTGACCAATTTCTTTGTTAAAATATGTTGAGTTTTACAACTAAAGTGAAGATTACATCCAAGATTCAGGGAGGTCAAAGCCAGGGTGCAAATAAATAGGGAAATACACTTTGATGGGTGTAGAA